TCTGCGAATATTCACAGAACTGTGGGACACTAACTTATTACCTTCCAAGTAGAGTAAAATTTCAAACTCCTTTCAGTTCTTGATAGTGTTTGGTGACGAAGCCAAGATGCTGACAGAGACTGGACTTTCTAGGAGAGACAGGATGAGACGCTTGTGAACTGTGCGAGAAAAGGAATTTCCTAGTATCTGTTAGCTAATGTTCTTGCCCAAGTGGTAGGTGAGAGGGAAGGAGAATTAGCAAATCTAATGTATCTGCCCTAAATCTCCACCTCTTAATGGGTTCTATTTCTTTATCTAAGTGGTAAAAATCCACCATTATTCCCTACCCACCCCATCTTTTTCCTACAATTTTTTACAATTGCAAGATTCTTTAAAAATATTGCTATAAAATAGATACATTTGAGAAAAGTCAGCTCCACGTATCTTCATGCCTCCTTTCCTTATCCTCCTCTTTACACTAAGATTACTTTGACCTAAAATAAAATTAAAAGAAAACTGCTTTATTCTATTAAGTGAATGTTTATCCTCCTTCAAATATCCTACTTTGGAATGATACCCCTACAGTCAGGGAATGAAATCCAGACTGACTGAATCCTTCACCGTCTGGATGTCACTGTGTATGTGTGCAAATCCAAAGCAATAAACAGAGAAACGCTAAATAAAAATGGCCTTAAAACATAATATGTATAAAAAAATCATTTACTTTTTCATTGTAGTTTCCCAAATAATTTTAGGTAATTTTCAGAAGGGATTTTTAACTACTAGGTTAATTCTATCATGTTAGTATTTAAAATTTTTCCTCATTATTTAAAATCTAAGAGTTTAAAAATACAGTATATTTTCACAACAAATTATATCATCTTTATCCCACTGCAAACAATTAACCCTCTTCTCTAGTAATTTCCCTTGTGCAAGAATGCAGAATATAGAATGATAAGCCTAACAGGATCTAAAGAGGCAGGGCTACAGAAAACCTTTCTTCTCTAATCATATTAAGCTCAAATTTATCTTGATTAACAATTGAGTAACATATGCTTATTTCTCTGTGACCTTCTTAATGTGCAGAAACCAAAACAGGAAACAGTATTAAAGAAGAATTTCCAGGTAAAATTAAAAAACAAATCCAAAAGTTAAAGTGGAAAAAAGGTAAGGGAAAAATTCACATATACATTTCTATTGCAATGTGTCCTAGATTTTATCAGTAGATCTTGATTTATGAGGTTCTCAATGACTATTTAGTACAACTCTGAGATTTCTAAGAACATCAGAGAAATAAAATTACAAATTTGCTGACGCCTATGAACTAGAATCAAGATTGTCTTGCACAAATAGGGAAATTTGAGTTTTCCACAAAATCATTCTGAAACATTTACACAAATCAGCTTATTTTAAATAAAAATGATTACAAACATGATGATAGCTATGTACAAAATATGTATTTGTACACCCTACTTAACATTCTAAGTAAAGGTACCCTTGAAGCTTTTTTGCCATTATACAGTATTACTACTATACTACATGAGTACAGAAAGAATGTGAGAACTCTTCTCCTCCCTACATTATAAAATCACATTCAAGTGCTGTATACACTTTGCCTAGAAGGATTTAGGAATGTTATTTAATGACTTCTTAAGTCACTGGACTGATTTTAAAGTTTTTTAAAAAAAGAGATTAATTTAAAGATGGCTCACTTAGCAAACACCCCAATTAGCAAATGGACAAAAGATATGAACAGGCATTTCACTGAAGAGGATAAATAGATGGCAAAACAGCACATGAATCGATGTTAAGCATCATTATTAATTAGGGGAATGCAAATTAAAACCACAATAAGAAAAATTCACACCTATCACAGTGGCTAAATAAAAAATTGTGACATCAAACACTGGTAAGGATACGGAGAAACTGGATCTCTCATCCACTGCAGGTTGGAATGTAAAATGGTACATTCGAGCTACTCTCGAACAGTCTGAAAGTTTCTTAAATATGGCTCATTTAAACCGAAACTTTACATCATTTATATTCTAAATAGTATGATATCTATACAGATATAGCCATTGTATTTCAATAACCAAATTTCTAATAAAGGGGAGAAAGGCAGTACAAATACAATACAGAGAACTTCAGAAATATCTGACTCTTCAGGTTCCTGTCTCTAACATTCCCACTCCCAAGATCACCCCTGTGTTCCCCAAAGGGCAAGGGTCCCATGGGAATATGGTGACAATATAGTCAGTAACTTAGAACCAATGCTGATACCAAAATATTTATGGCTATGAGGCTCTAAAACTTAAAAACAAACAATGTGATTCTGGATCACCTATTTAACTTCTGTAGGGTTACCATTCTGACTGGTTTAAAACAGACGACCCAGCATTGGGTATGCAAGAAGATGATTCTGGGACCAGGCAAGTACAGAGTATGTTTTAATTCTGAGAAACATGATCTAGATTTCCCAAAGGGATTCAGAGCCCTTTGGGGGTAGCTTGGAGCCTTCTAGGCTATCTCTGGAGGACTATAGAATCACTTCACATTGAAGAACTCCAGGGTCCTCTTTTCAGAGAATGATAAAATTCTTGCCAAACTCCTGGATTAAATTATTTTTAATTAAAGCCTGGTGCCCAGAATAAATCCTCAGCAGAAAGGGCTGTTTCTGAAGTTACCTCCCTCTAATGGCAGAGGGTTTGGCATTCTTAAGATTCAATCTGTGAGCTGTATACAGTCAAATACACAAAACCTGTGAATGGACAGGCTTCAACCATACCTTAGAAAGTTGACAGAACTATGTGTATTTATAGATGTGTATCTCTATACAAATGTATATGCAAATATATAAAACATATGAAGAATTTAAAAATAAACACTATGAGGATTCTAGCTCTCCTAAATTGACCCCTGAACAACATAGGGGTTAGGAGTGCTGACCCCCTGTGCAGTCAAAGATCTGTGTATAATTTTTGACTCCCCAAAAACTTAACTAGCCTACTGTTGACCAAAACCCTTACCAATAATACAAACAGTCGATTAACCCACAGTTTGTATCTTATATATAGTATAAACTGTATTCTTACAATAAAGTAAGCTAGAGAAAAGGAAATGTTATCAGGAAAAAACATTTACAGTATGGTACATATATTTATGGAGAAAACCTGCATATAAAGTAGATCTGCACAGTTCAAATCCATGTTGTTCAAGGGTCAACTGTTGCCCTTCTTTACCCAACAAAACATATCTTACTTGCAACAAATATAAGCTGATTCCTATTAACAAATGCATGTAAATCAAGGATAAAATATATACACAAAAAAAGTTGCACTTACAAAGCAAAAATTCATCCAACCAATAGGAAGGCACAGAGTTAAGTTCTGTGGAAGTAGACATGGTTTCTGCTTCTAGAAAGCTTCCAGTTTGATATAAGTCTTATACAGAGGCAGATAAAAGAGAGTGATCATCTCTTTTGTTCAGAGATGACAAGAAAGCAAAAAGGCAGATCACATCAAGACACTTTGCAGACTACATAATCCTATGCTGAAGTCATCAACCCACTCATCAAGACCACAGAGGATGCAGGCATGCAGATGAGGGTAAGTGGGTAAAAACAGCAGAAAACAATTACAACGTAAGATTTTTTTTTTTTTGGCCTTAATAACCAGTAAAGTAGAAACCTTATTTAACAAACGACCACCTCTTTTTGCTAATAACATTTCTTAAGGTAAAATGAGGCAGAGAGAAAAGGAGCATCATAGATACATTTGCGGAGTCTTCAATTTTCTTCTAATAGTCTATATTAGTGGTTCTCAACTGGGAGTGATATTGCCTCCTAAGGTCCATTTGGCAGTGTTTGGAGATATTTTTAACCACTGCAATTAGGGGGATGCTGCTGGTAGGTAGCAGGTAGAGCTGAGGGACACTGCTAAACATCCTCTAATGCATACTACAACAGCCCAAAGTAAAGAATTACCTGTTCCAAATGTCAATAATGTTGAGATTGAGAAGTCATATTATGGTTGGATATAAAAAAATGAAAAATCAGTAAGTCTCAGTATGAAAGCAACTGCACCAGTTTAAGAAGGATCGTACAGAAGCAGTCTCCTCCTTGAACAGATAGCTACAGATCTCCTAAAAATATCTGATTGATCTATAATAGGAAAATAAAACATGCTGAGAAATCTTAGCACAAATTTTTTTTTTAAACTGCAAATATTAGCATACAAATGAAAATAAACTTGGAAGATGGAAGGGATAATTATTTTGCTCAACTGACTTTGAATATCAACTGTTTCTACCACTACAAAGGCAAATGTGACCACGTTGATGATTTAGGTCAAATTTGGCAAAAGATTTACTAAACCGTGTCACTAAAAAACAGTGAGAGGTAGTAAAAATAAATTAACTCCTAGACTAACAGAAGGAAAAATTAGCCACTGATTTTTGAGATGCTCAATTCCGATGAGACATATTTGAAGTTACTTTGTCACATTATCTAAAAGGTATTTAGGGGCGCCTGGGTGGCTTAGTCGGTTAAGCGTCCGACTTTCGCTTGGGTCATGATCTCGCGGTTCGTGGGTTCGAGCCCCGCGTCGGGCTCTGTGCTGACTGCCAGCTCAGAGCCTGGAGCCTGTTTCAGTCTGTGACTCCCTCTCTCTCTGACCCTCCCCTGCTCACGCTGTCTCTCTCTCTCTCTCCTAGAAATAAATAAAACATTAAAAAATATTAAAAAAAAAATAAAAAAATAAAAGGTATTTAACCTTTACTTTGTGGTTTTCTGATGTAAAGAAGAATGTGAAAAAGAAATGAGCTAACAGATTTTTAAGTATTCATAATATTACAATTCAGTATATCCTAACACAGAAAGACAGTTCTTTCCTATGAAATCACACCCACTGAGAAGCAGAATCTATAAGAAACCGTAAAACAACGGAGCAGCTTGCATATGATCTGATTTTGATAAAAGACCTATAATTGTTCACTAAGCTTTGTAAAAAGGGCATAAAAAATGAAAAGAACATTATCTACATAATAGAATCAGACTTGTTACAGTAAACAAAACAACTCCACTCAACAAAAATATTTCCAAATCTTAATTAGTGGAGTTAATGATACTATATATTGGCTATAATGATCCCATCAAAAATGTTAATACTTTAAGAAGACAAAGTTCACTGAAATGGAATTTGCAGAAATGCAATGTAGCCTCTAGATCGATCACATCTATCACTGAAATGGATATATGTGACAGTAACCACAAAATTCTCTGTAAGTTACTTTTTAAATTACATTAGTATTTAACAACTAGTTCTAGAACAGTAAGACTTCATGTGATAAAGCCTGACTAAGAGGGAAATAAATTCATTATTGCTACAAATCTAAATGGAACCTAGCCCAAATGGAGAGAGGGGCAAGTAATACGAGAAAAGGTTCGAAGGTAGTCTCCAGGCATAGGACAATTTTACACCAGGCCTAAAGCTACTCACAACTCTGATTCTTTAACATTTGTTTCTATCAAGAAAGTTTGAGAATGCAGAACTATCCCTGCTCCTTTCTGTAGAGCTCTGGCCCAGGTGGGCCATTAGCATGGATATACTCTGATTACCTCTGTCCGCTACCCACTGCTCCTGTCTCAGAGAGATAAGCAGATTGGACAAAAATAAAAGATACCTGGACAAGTTAAATATTGCAATGAAGGCAATTCTTAAGTCATCAATGAATTAGGGCACCTTCTTCAAATTAAGCGCTGTCAATTAGGCACTTAATAAAAGCAAAAGACATTTATGCAAGCATCTCAACAACAAAGATAAGAATATGAAAAGAAAAGCAAGATTTATATTCACTACCTAGATTTTGTAAAAAAATGCGATGTCATACTTAGCCAGAAGTTTTTGAAAGAAATGCTGTTTGAGAAAGAAAATATCTTCTTGTTCCTGATGAATCAATACCCTTTTTAGTTTCAGTAACTGAAGTTATTTTTCAATATGTAAAGAGTGTTCAGATTTGGTTAAACAAGTAAAAATTAAGGCAGTGTCTTTAAGCCCAATAAAAGAAAGAACTGACTAACAAGTAAGCCTATCTGTGGGGCATATTGAGCTCATACTTAGATACAGTATTGAACAGTTATGGTTTTAAATATTAACATTTCAAAATTTCACATTTCTTCATTCTTTCTAGCTATATGAACTTCATGTAGCCCATTTAATTTTAAAGAATTAAAGGAACACTTGTCACTTAGTTTTGGAACAAAACATGAATGGTGCTTGACCCAGAACTAGTAACTCAGATAGTAAATAATTATGTTTGTGTAGATCACTGACCCAGTATAAAAAGGAGGAGGACCCATAGCTGTAAAAATATGGCTGGAAATGGCTAACGTCCTTTGGAATCTGCTACAAAACAGAAGATATAAAGTTTTGAGGTACTGTTGCCTTACAATTTTACCCAGGTTTATATTAAAAAATGAGGGATTTTTGTTTTGTATTCAAAAAAGCACTGTTTTTTCTTTCAGGTTGCACAAAGCTCCTTGTAAATCTTCTCAGTCATCGTCATATTTGTTATTATCCCTGAGCTGTGTCTCATCCGCACATCACATCAACCAGCCATATATGGTTCTATCATTCCAGTTACTGTTGCATCTTGTTATACCAATTCATGGAGCGTTTCACTGCTTTGACCCAGTTTTCCATACTCATTTCATATTCTTGCCATTTCTTCTGTGGCTTGAAAACCACTTCACTTTGCCTCAGTTTCTTTAGTTCCTCCTTGTCAGTCCAAAATCCTATGGATAGAAAAAAATTACTCAAATTTTAAGGCAAATAAGGAGTCCATAAACCTAGGTGAACTGGTGCACAGGTAAACAACTGTTGTTTTATTTATTTTTAACAACTATTGTTTTAAAACACAAGCCAAAATATTTTGCTGCTTTTTAATTTTGTTAGATTGTCTATCCCTAGGAATAACTACATCAGGATTTTACAATCTTTTGGTTTTTAACTATCAGCTTTATTTCTGTGTGGCATTGTGCCAAACCATGTCTAGAGCAATCTGACCCTGTCATCACTTACTTTCATGACTTGCTAGAAGGAAAAAAAAAACAAAAACCCTCAAGTAAGGAAGAGTATATTTTCTTTTTACATAATTAAAAAAACAAAGATAAATTAAGATTTTTGTCATATATCCTGACAACTCCCTGGGATACTCAGAAATCCAAAGTTGGGATGGAATATAATAAGTAGTGTCTTTTTCAAACTATTCTATTTCATAAAAGTTCATGATACTATTGCTTTGGCATATATTGTTCTTCACAAAGAGGATCATGTGATTTATAATAAAAAGCAGCAAGAAAACACATTTATAACTATGACCATAAGTAGTATGAAATGACTGAAGTATCTTGTTAATTAACCTCATATATCTCACCTAGTTTGAGGTACTAACATAGCTGACAAATCTGCATGAAATATATTGCTTGTTACCAATAAAGCCGACACAAAATTCTTCCCTCTAAAATTTTGTCAGGTCACATTCTTTCTAATTTTCAAAGTCAGCATTTTATACTTATCTATATTTAAAGATATTAACTAATTTATAGAAGTTATTAAAAGACTAAAACTAGTTTTCGTTAGTATACTAGTTAGATAAGTCTAGTAATGAAAATAAATAAGCATGTTTTTAAAATCCTTATTTCCAGAATTAATTACTTACTCTCTAGGATACACATTTTTTGAAGCAATTTTATTAAATAACTATCAAATAGACATAGTTTCTGGGTGAACTTTGAAAATACAGAAAATGTGCATAGCCTTCAAGTCTCAGATTTCTGAAAGAGAAGCAATCCAACCAGAAATCTCTGCTTTTCTGACATGGTAAAACTGCTCTCTGTAATTAGTGAAGTCTCTGTGAACTGGAAAGGTTTGAAATTCAATATAGATATAGATAGATATAGATAAAGATCAAGCCACTATATTATGTTTAAGACAAATCTGTATGTGTGTGTTACTTAAAGTATATTTAAAATGTTCAAGAGAATCTGACATATTTAGTCTTCTGGCATGAAAAGTACACAAGAATTTGATTTGCCTTATAAATAGTATTAGAATATTTATGAGTATTTGATTTACTGTAAATATACGCTTAATTTATTCATTTTGCAAAAGCTGTTTAAGTTCTTGAGAAGATTTTTTTGGTTACACTTTTAAGTTTGCTCAGTTAGGAATATGCAATTATTAAAAAGAAAATCAACTGTATTAAATTTATATTTGTTGAAATATACAAAAGAATTTAATTAAATGAGTAAATGGGAATGATTATTTAAGGAGAAGTTATTTTCTTCAATTTGAATTTACCACACATTAATCAATGAACAAGTGAAAGTGATTGTTTTAATTTTATTCAAAATTAACAGATTTTTAGTAGAATGAACTTAGGGGATTTGTAACTTTAATATGTTAAATATTAAGCCTAAAAATTTTAACTCTAAGATATCCTATTTTGTACAAACACTCTTCCCCTCCATAGAAGAAGATATTAAATACTCCCAGGGTCCTAAGGCAGCATACTGCTTCCTGGGGAGCCCTCTAATTGGAGTCCATTCTTCACCCCTCCCAACTAATCCTCTCACTAATTGCCAAAGTGATCTGTTAAAATACAGATCTATCCATGTCCCTCCCCTGCTTAAAATTCTTTAGTGGCTGTCTAGTGCCTTCATGATTAAGTTCAAACTTCTCCCTGTAAGGAGTGCCCCACACCTGGACCTCCATTCCTCTCCAGCCTTCCCTCTTGCTCTTCCCCTAACAGCACTTACCATACAGAACTGGGATATTGGCACAAGTTGCTTTCTTTACTGGACCACTCAGCTCTCATGGCTCCTCGCCTCCTCACCTGGCTGTCTGCTAACTCCATCAAGACTAAGCCTCCTCTGGAGAGCCAACACCACTTGCTTAATGCTATAACTGTTCACTGGGTTTAACACACAAGTATAGTAAATAATTTGATGATTTGTGTGACTGTACCTGGAGACTCCCACAGTCAGGACTATGTTTTTTAAATTCTTTATTCCCAGCAGTGACTGTCATGTAGCAGGTACTCAACAGATTTTCAATAACTAAAAGAATGGAGTGGTTCCTAATGCCAAAGTAAAGCCTATCTACTCAGAAGTTTGTCCAGAGACCTTCTCTTTGCTGAAGACAGAGCAGCTGAGAATTAATTTCCTCGCCTCATAATTCTGAGTGAAGAAGTGAAGTGAATATGGAACAAGTACAAACAGACCATCCACAGAGGAGGGCATAGAAATATTTTGTGAATAAAGTGCATTTGTGTATGGAGCTTACTGTGACAGGGAAAAATCTGTTATAATATGGCTGACAGGATTGACAGGGAAATTCCAGTACCCTACCGAAAACTCCCATTCCGGGTTCTTCTTCCTATCCCACTTGCCATATGCACTTGCCAAATTACTAATGCAGAATGTAGAAGCAAAGATTATAAACTGTTCCCTCTGCTTGTGCTGGGGGCTCACACCTCTGGAGAGTCAGTCATCTCCTCTGAGCCCGCTGGTGTAAAATAAACCTCCTGCCTTCCAAGATCTCCTAGTGCCGCTTGGTTCTTCCCCCCAGTGATCCAGACCAGGTTCCAAAACAAATGGACACCAAAGTTTTCCAGACCCTCTCTATAATTCAGTCATTTGGGAAGAGAAATGCTCTCGGCAAGAAATAGCCTGCAAGACAGCTCTTGCTTTTATAAAATCCACACATACCAACAGCAAGGCCAGCTAGAGAAGCTGCACCAAGGCACGACATGTCTATGTTGACAGGTCTCTCTATTTTCTCATTAATCAGGTCTGAAGTCATCTGCATGACAAAATTGTTCTTACAAACTCCTCCATCTGCCCTGTGGGGAGCAAGATATTTGAGATAAATTATTCCAACAAATGCATAAAAACACTATTCATCCTTTTTAAAAAGGGCCACATTTATTTTTTTAGAATCTGGATTTTATTTTTGAAGCTCACCCTCTTAATTCCAAAATCATATCACGTAGCACTGACCTGAGGAAAAAGGTCCTTACTAGGTAATCTTCAAACATTTTTCCTTATTCCTAACACCAATTTTCTCACCTGTTCTGTTCATCCTGGGACTAGTTCAAAATAGGCCAAGTAAACTAAGCCAACATAAAAATTCATTTGGACATTCCAGCAAATAAAATGTGATGTTTCCATGACAAAAGGATAGCCACAAACCCAAAAAAGAGTTTTGAAAGATGTTTATGATAGGGGTGACTAGTTGGCTCAGTTGGTGGAGTGTGCAACTCCTGATCTCAAGGTTTTGAGTCGCCACGTTGAATGTAGAGATTACTTAAAAATAAAATCTTAAAAAGAATAAATACAGATCTTTATAATATACATGTGGGTGCTAAGATCATCTTAAATTCTGTATTGTGTTATATTCTCCGTAAATCCAAAATAAGCTTTCCTTTCCTCTCCAAATTCCTATGACCAAGAATTTTGTTGCAAAGAAGCTAGGCATATTTTTTTTAAAAAAATCCCGAATAGTCATAATGATGAAAACACTAATAGCAGTTAGCACTCACTTTTGATTTCTAATTAAATCTATTGGAAACAAAGTTTACGTACCGGACTTTTGTCACAGGGATATGGATCTCTTTCTGCATCAATTCATATAACTGTTTATTTCTAGTCAAAAAATCAAGATAACTGTTTAGAGGAAATTCACATCATAATAATTCTCTATTTTTTTCAAATCAAGCAAAATTAAAACTGTGATTTGTATATATGATATTTATAAAATATGCAAAAGAAAACATTAAAAAATATATTATGCTAACTGAAATTGATATCAGATGCTCAAACAAGTGAGAGGTTTCAGGCCTTGGGCTTTTCACCTTGATAAAAGAGACCATAAATTTCATTTAGAAATAAATTTAATCTATTATAATTTCTACAAATAAAAATTTAAAGCAAGCATCCATTTAATAGAAAGCTATAAAGATGACATACCGTGAATAACATCTAACAGAATTCATCAAATAAGAAATTATCATTTTGTAATCAGAAATTTTTATTTTAAATGTTCCAAATGTTCCATATCATGACAGCCACATTCTTAATTTTAAGAATTAAAAATGTGATTTAAAATTAAAAATGTGAATTAAAATTACAAATGTGCCATAACGAAAAGATCACAGGGAAATATACAAAAAGAATAATTTTGGTGACTTAATCTTTGAGTATAATGGAAGCATTATTAATTAGAATTCTCCTTTATTAATAAGGATACAAAAATCTTTGAAAGTCCAAACTTTAAATCTTTTATGCATAAGAATATAGACACAGTTGACCCTTGGATAATGTGGGGATTAGGGGTGCTGACCTACCACAAAACAAAAAATCTGTGTGTGATTTCTGACTCCCCCAAAACGTAACCACTAATGGCCTACTACTGGCCGGAAGCCATACTGATAACAGTCAGTTAACACAGAGTATGTATGTTATATGTATTACATACTGCCTTCTTACAATAAAGTAAGCCAGAAATGAAAATGAAATGAAATGAAAATGTTACTAAGAAAATCATAAAGGAAATACATTTACAGTACCATACTGAATTTACCGAAAAAAATCCACACATAGATGGATTGCACAGTTCAAACCCACATTGTTCAAGGGTCAGCTATATTTTTAAAAATCATTTTATTTTCAGATATCAAATCTAAGTGGTATTGGAACTATTAAATATGAAAAACAGAAATGCTAAGGAAATTAGCAATAATTATGTCATAAACAAAAGGTATAAATGCTCAGTTAAAATTAAGAAATTTTAGGGACACCTGGGTGGCTCAGTTGGTTGAGCATCTGATTTCAGCTCAGGTCATGATCTCACAGTTCGTGAGTTTGAGCCCCACTTCTGGCTCTTTGCTGTCAGCACAGAGCCAGCTTCAGATCTTCTGTCCCCCTCTCTCTCTGCCCCTCCCCGCTACCACTCTCTTAATAAATAAATAAAAACATTTAAAAACTTATGAAATTTCAGAATTTAGGAGAAATTAATAAAAGGAAATGGCAATACTGTATGCAGAGAGGTGAGTTTAGGGCCAGTTCTGCTACCTGAAAGCTATTGATTCCAATATTGCTCGTACAAGATGGTATTTACTGGTGGAAGGCTTCAAACCCATAAAAGAGGCACATGCATGGGGGTCATTTAAAGGAGCCTAAAGAAAGAGATAGTAACAAGTTTTATCATTGTTCTAAATTACACTTACAGACTTAAAGACATATTATGCAATAAAAACACACCCATGTTAGAAAAAAAGAATGCTTCTTTATATAGAGTTAAGTAGTTTTAAAATAAATGACAGCCCCCCAAATATGTTAACTATTAGGATTAACTCTCTAATAGGATTTAAGCAAGGATGACTTAGTTGACTTATAGATATTGACTTAGCTATACCTTCTGTTTGAGCTCATACAAAGAGAAGGGACCGAAGCAGAGTAACAACTTAGATGTCTAGCTTTATAAGAGGAAATGAAAAGCAATCCTAGTGTTTCTCCGTTTATCCACCTGTAAAGTTTTTACACTGAAACTGTTTTTGTCATACTTAATATTTTGTCAGACATTCAAACTAAACCCTTATATTTCTTAGCTTAATAGTCTCACTGCCTAATATGAGAAATGATTCAGCCTAACATCTGTCTTTAAAAGAGCCAAAGTCTTATAGCGCCTGGGTGGCTCAGTCAGTTAAGCGTCTGACTTCAGCTCAGGTTATGATCTCATGGTTCATGGGCTTGAGGCCTGCATTGGGCTCTGTGCTGACAGGGCAGAGCCTGCTTCGGATCCTCCGTCTACTTCTCTCTTTGCCCCTCCTCCACTTGCGCTCTTTTTCTCTCTCAAAAAATAATACATTATAAAAGATAATAAGAGCCGAAGCCCTGACCTGGAATTATGTATCTATCAAATAAATTTTGTATTTACTGCACCCTCAGAAATCCAAGACAATTCTAGGACACAAAGATGAGACCCCTGCCAGACCTATGGTCTTACAAGGAAAGGGACAGAAGAACAGTTCCAACATCTGATGTAAGGTCTTGACAGAGGGATGTGCTAGTGCTGTCAGAAAACGATGGTCCCCAGGAAAGGCACCTTCTAGCTTCAGGGCCTTGACACATCCTCTCCTTACCTGGAAAACTTTCTACCACCCCTTCTCCTAACTAATCCTACTCCCCTTCCAAAACTTGGCTCAGATTCCTCGGGGAAAACTTTGATCCCAGAGACAAGGCCAAGCCCCCATCATCGCTTTTATGGAGACCCCGAACTTTGCTTCATGTCATGTGTATATAACCACATATGTTTGTGTGGATGTTTGTTGAAACTCTATTTTCTCTGTGGAAACTCATCTGATGTACTTCCTATGTGTCTCCGGGGCCTTGCATTGCATCTGGCCCATCAGGGCATAAACACACATTTGTTTAATCAATGAACGAACAATACTTTTCCTCACTATTTAACTAAAGAAATTCCATATTACATCTTATCTTTACTGTAGCTATGATTTTCCTCCTACTGTGATTTTATCCTGATAATTTTTCAAATTTATTAACATGTTCTGGTGATCCACTTAGTAAAAGCTTACTTATACAGTAACACTAGTCTATATCAGGTGGTAGAATACTGTATTAGTTCCTAGTAGTGTGCTAAGGGTTTTTTGGGTTTTTTTGTTTTTTTGTTTTTTTTTGCATAAAAATTACTCCTTCTAGTATACCACATAAAATCCTGGTATGACTGGTTTGAAATGACTTTTGTAAAAACAACTATGAACATAATTTACAATTAGTAGTAGGCCAATCTGAGGGGGTAATAAAGTCCATAGAAACCTAAAAATTTCTTTATAGGCTCTACTGTCCCTGCGTTAGTCCAAGTGAGCCTGTCTTTGGGATGATATGGTAGGAAAAACACTGGGAAAGAAGGTCCTTTAGGTCTGCTCACATCCCAACAGGGCAGACAGCCTCCAGCCACATTTTTAATCTGTCACTGCTGATCCTATTGAGTACGCCTCCCAGACCATCAACCAACTAGGAACAGGGAGAATCCACAAAGTTTTGCTTGAAGCCCTGAGCTAACCTAGAAGATTCCTGCCCAAGGCATAGACTACCAGCCTCGGTAGGCCAGTGTGACCACGGGAATCTTAGCCTAAATTGCTGGGTACTTGTAAGATGGTTAATGTCAATATGCCTCTTGCCCTTTGTCAACTTTTTTTTTAATGTTTTATTTATTTCTGAGAGAGAGAGAGAAAGGCAGCATGAGCAGGGGAGGGTCAGAGAGAGAGGGAGACACAGAATGTGAAGCAGGTTCCAGGCTGGGAACTATCAGCACAGAGCCCGACACAGGTCTCAAACCCATGAACCGTGAGATCATGACCTGAGCTGAAGTCAGACGCTTAAACGACTGAACCACTCAGGCACCCCCCGCTCCTTGTCAATTTTGAACCTAAAGGCATCTGTTGTGTATTCCCATTCTTATATTTTATGCCATACCATGAACCAGTATAGTGGAGTGGTTAAGAACCTGGACTCTGGAGTCAGAACAGCTGGGCCCTGAAACCAACTCTGTCGCTCACTAGCTGTGTGAGACTAGGCAAGTGATTTAACAGCTCTACATCTTACTTTCCTCATCTTCAGAATGGGATGATAAGAGTATCTTCTGCCTTGTGGAGTTACTGAGGATTAAATGAGATAATGCATGACATTTAGAACTATGCCTGACACATAGTTCACTACAAATTTTATATTACTATTACTGCTTACCAAAATCCTTCCCACTATTGACTTTCTCCATATCCCTTTCTGTGTCTTCTGAATTCTTCCTTCTATTGTAAATTAATTCTCCTAAACCATAACCAACTCTGAGAAGTTCCTTCCACTTATTTTGTGGTTGCTGTAACAAACCTGCCTCTGTGCTGGGCAAATAGCTTCAGTGGTAGCTATCCAGAGGACTGCTGAGCTTCCATACCACAGGGACCAGTCAATCCTGTACTTACATCCTACAATCACTCTCAGCCACTACACATCTACTGTTAGGAGACACTTCCCTTCCCCCATTTTTTTAAAAATGTTTATTTCTGAGAGAGAGAGAGAGAGAGAGAGAGCACACAAACAGAAGAGGGGCAAAGAGAGAGGGACTAAGGATCCAAAGTGGGCTCTGCACTGACAGCAGAGAGCCCCGTGCAGGGCTAGAATTCACAAACTATAAGATCATGACCTGAGCTGAAATCAGATGCTTAACCAACTGAGCCACCCAGGTGCCTTACCTTCCCCCATGTTTGTTTAGGTCCACATCAACATCATGTTTTACCTCCCTTCACACTCCGACATCCTAGTCACTCTCAAAACCAGAGACAGTATTCCCAGTATTTGCTGGCCACATCTCTTTCTTCTTCTTCTTCTTCTTTTTTTTTTTTACATTTTTAATGTTTATTTATTTTAGAGAGAGCGAGACAGAGCATGAGTGGAGAGGAGCAGAGAGAGAGAAGGAGACAGAATCCAAAGGAGGCTGGAGCCTCTGAGCTGTCAGCACAGAGCCTAACATGGGGCTTGAACTCACAAGCCATGGGATCATGACCTGAGCCAAAGTTAGACACAACCAATTGAGCCACCCAGGTACCTTTGGTCACATCTCTTTTGGAGGAAACTGCTTGGATCCACAAACCTTGTTGTCTATAACAGTCAAGTTTCATGCCCTAGTCCCACTGCCAATGCCACAACCACAGGGACTGAGCAATGACTAACTCAAAATGTGTCCAAAGCCTGAAAAGACCAGGTGGACCAATCAGATTCTCAGATTTCCCAGAAATGACCATCTGAGAAAAGACTATCAACAAGGGGGAACTGAAGCTAAAAGCCTGCACAAAGTAAAAGAAGGCTGTGTGTATTTCCAAATTGTAGAGAAGCATAAAGTATGAGGAAAATAATGACGAGTAGAAGTTATGAGGAAGAAAGAGTATAAAGCAGAGCTGGTAACGAGAAAAGCAGACTCACAGAGAAGCAGAGACCACAAGCAACATAAAGAACTGCAAAGTCAGTGGCTGACTCCTTTCTAATACCAGTGAACAACCAGCTCCTCTCAGGGTAGCATAAGGAAGTCTGTTGCCTACAAACCTAAGAACCCTCAGAAGCATGACTCCTCATCCTGCGAAGATTGCCACTTGATTCACAATCCTGTCCATCCTATCACTGTCACCATCACAGTAATTCAAAGTCCAGCAGATATCCACTGATTCCTGCCTCCTATACCTGTCATGGATACTCTACATTAGTATCTCCGCCATTCCCCCGCCAAACCACAAGCCCTGCTACACCAAAGCCACAGTGGTGCACCAACTGATGCCACCCCCAGGTAATGGCCCCCATGCTCCAGCCCACCCCCTGCTATTCCCTGAAGTGGCTGTCCCAGACTTCCCCACTCTCCTCCAACTTCCCCCAGTGCCACTTTCTCAGCAGACTCCCTTGAGAAATGGAGGCTATTGAGACTTTTTAACATCCTGCCCCATCATCTATGGCTGTAACAATATTCTAAAATTAAAGGCAGTATTACAGATACTTGACCCTTCCTTCCCATTCCCCAATCCTTCATTTTCTTTGCTTGTAGACATAGGCAACTTATCAGTGATCTCCCTCCTATTTTCCAAACAGCTTAGTATCAACACACTATTGTTGTCTGAATTAACTTTCAGTTTCTACTTAAGAGTTTCATGTTACATTAGGAAATACTTGGGTTTGTAGTCCTCTTCCACGCCCCTCGAATCCAACAGACTTCCAGGTTGCAGTCACGGCAGCAAAGGGACATTTTTTATTAACATGACCTTAAAAACTGCATCAGTGAGAGTTTTCTCCAATCTTCTGGCTTTAGCAATACTTTGTATCATATACTTGATATTATTTTTACAGGCATATGGATTAATGCAAAAGTTAGACAGCTGCCAAGATAAAGTCAGGACTAAGTCCCCCATCATATTTTTCAAAAAAATGGAAGAATATATAGTAGCCTAATTAAATCCTACCTTGGTTGATAACAACTATTCATCTAAATCTTCCTCCTGAATTGTCAATCCAACAAATACTCTTTCACCCCCGTCCTATCATGGATGCTATTTAGTTTCATCACATCGCCCCAAAGAGGACGCAGTGTAATCTCTATTATGTTACTTATAAATTTTTAGTCCTTTAGGATAACATATATAGAAGGAAATTATTACAGATATTAAAATAATGCCCATTTAAACGTCAAGTTTGGAAATATTGTACTTTTAAAGATTTGAAACACTCTGATTTAATCTTTTCCCACCAGTTTCTACATTATATTGTCCAAAATTTCAAATCTTGAACTTTTTAACTGATTGCCTGAGTACAGCATGGACTAGAAGAGAAATTTTTATTTTTCGAGAGGAAATAATATTTAGAGAAGGATTAAAAGGGTAGGATAAGCTTTCCAAAAAAAGGAATTTTATTCATAATAATATACCTGAAAAGGTTTTTAAAGTCTTCCTAACAGTATGCCAAAATAAAAGGCAATATCACAGATCTTTCAATTAAATACGAAGTCAAATATTACAGAGCCATTTCTTGTACTGGGTTCACTTTCTGATTAGGCAAAATAACCAATACTCCACCACAACAGTTAACCAAAAGAGAATTTGATTTTTTAAAAAGTGAATGAAACTTATAAATAACTGCACAATATACCCATATGTGTGTGTGAGAAAGAGAGAGAAAGAGAGAGAGATTAACATTATTTTTCTAATTCTCAACTTCCTCTAAGTAAAAAATCCCAATATACTGATATATTTTCCCCCACTGGGAAATGGTTAATTTTGGTTATGACAAAGTAGCACTAAGTCTTATGTAAAAGTTCTATACCAAACCTGCCAACTTTTCATTACCATAGGGATGTAGTTCTAAGCTGAATTTGCTCTGCTTTCTCATGGAATTCATGCTAAGTCACAGCTTCTAAGCCCTGGAATGTACCTTCACTTTCATACTGATCAGTGTCCAAATTTTCAAGTAAGGGAGTGGCATATAAATAATTTTAAGTGTAGGTATGAAGAAAGAAATGTCTGTTAATTGTCACTGACTAAAAAATAAAAAATTTTAAAAAATACCTGCAATCCAGTAAAAGATGGAACAAAACAGACTCCTTCAGAATCTTCCAAACTTTTGGCCATTTTTTCAGTCTCAGCAACATCTGTGAAAAGATCTGCAACAACAAAAATAACAACAACAACAAAAAATGCTAAAACAAAATGGAGGAGTTGGGGAGGGATAAAGAGAATTATGTTATATAACTAGTATTTACCTGGATCCACATTAACCAAGAATACAGTATGAAAGGTTGCTCACTTGAAAAACAATCTGCCCTAGTACTATCTGGGCTCTCACATTGCATAGGTTTATGAGCCCATGGAAGGTCTTCTTAAATGGACTATGTATGCAGCAGGCCTTACTTTTTCTTTAAAGATATTTGGGCTGTTTAAAAATCGGGGCACCTGGGTGGCTCAGTTGGTTAAGCGTCCGACTTTGGCTCAGGTCATCTCACGGTTTGTGGGTTCGAGCCTCGCATTGGGCTCTGTGCTAACAGCTAGCTCAGAGCCTGGTGACTGCTTCAGATTCTGTGTCTCCCTCTCCCTCTGACCCTCCCCTGTTCACAACGCCTCTCTCTCTCTCAGAAATAAATAAAACATTAAAAAATTTTTAAAAAAAGAAATAAAAAATAAAAATCAATTCTGTGTGCTTTTTTGGCATTAAAATAAATTATTCTCCTGAAGATAACACCAATCCTAGTTTTCTGATGAAAAGATCATCTACCTATACTAACCAAGAGAATCAACTGAAAAACTACTCCACCTAATGGGTTCACTAAGGGGCCAGTAATAACTAGGTATACTAAAAGCCAATCTTTAAAAACCAAACAAAAAACTCAAAGATCTAACTAATTTAATATACTATTTTTACTGAAGTATAGAACATACATGTAAAAAACTGCACAAATCCCAAGTATATAGTGGGATGAATTTTCACAGTGTGAATACACCTAGATAAACAACATCCAGATCAAGATACAAACTTTTGTTTAACATAATGCATGTGAAATTCATTCATGCTATTACAAGTAGTTACACTTCATTCTTACCGTTGTGTATATAATATTCCACTGTGTGACAATACACAATTTATTATATGCATTTGGTTAGTTTCTAGTTTGGGGCTAATATAAATAGGCCACTTTGAACACTCATAGACATTCTTTTTGGTGAACATATGTCTATGTTTCTGTTTGCTATATACCAAGGGGTGGTAATGATAGTCCTAGCCTCTACACATTTAGGACTAACTTTAGAAGATACTGCCAAACCATTTTCCAAAGTGATTATACCAAATTAAGGCTCCTGCCAACAGTATGAAATTTACAGTTATGCCATATTCTTGCCAAGAATTGATACTATCTGTGTTTTTTATTTTAGCTATTTTCATGGATTGCATGATGGTTTGATTTTATGTTTCTCTATTAACTAAGTTGAAATCCTTTTCATTGATCAGTTGGATATCCCTGTTTGTGAACTGACTCCTGAATAAGCATGTAGGACAGAAAGAATAGATCCCATGAAAAAGCTCAAGAATCAGTCATAATAAATATGAAGGCTTTATACAGCCTCAAGAAAAATGGTTTAATTTTAGTGAATGGTTTGTTATTCTTATAATGAAGAAATTAAAGACAAAAAGATTAAAGAATATCTACGTTAAAACTCAAGTTAATAAGGATCATTCAATAATAACTATAAATTTTATTCAAAATGAATTATCAGATCCATAAGTCATACTCATTTGGTCAACATGTTCATATAACACATCAAAATATCTCTACTACTTCAAAAACTAATATTAAAAAATAACGTTGGTTTTGAAATGTATACTTTTAAAAAACATCATGTCCAAATTGTCTAAATTTTTCAATCAAAATTTGGAAAACATAGTGGATGGCTAGTTTGAGGAAAGGTTTTTGGTGACAGGCCAAAGAAATAGGAAAAAAAGGAATCTAGTTAATTTACATTCTTCATTGGCTCTTTCAATAAATATACTTGCTTAAAGAATTTCCCTAAATAATCTTCCACTTAAACTGTTCTCAAATGAGCTTACGATGAAAAATCTCTGGGAGGGAGCAGATTTCACTCTGTCTCTCCCACTGAATACAACTAAGAATCCTGATGGAAGGCATGGAGAAGCTGAGGACTCAGAAGAATAAGGCCAGCAGGAAACTCTAAGTAACGCCAAACCATTAGTGAGTTTCCTGTTTTCATTTTCTCTGATATCGCCTGGCCTAAACTCAGGGACAGCCTAAGACCCAATACTTGGGTCTGTACACTGGATGCAAATATGAAGAGCTTCCACAGAAGCCCCCCTTCCTGGTCTGAGGCAGACTCAGGAGTCTCAATGGAACAGACAGTGAGTGACAGATAATATTACACACCTATTGGAATGGCGAAAATTAAAATACAAACAAACAAAAATGACAATACCAATCACAGGAGCAACACACACACACACACACACACACACACACACACACACACGGTGCTGGTGAGAATGGTAAATGGTATGGCCACTCTCGAAAACAGTTTGGCAGGTTTTTGTTTTTGTGTTCTACAAAGATAAACTCATACTTATTTGTGTGTATGTTTATATAACACTCTTAGGTATATATCCTAGAGAAATTTTTTAAAATTAATGGATGTTCACATAAAAACCTGTACATGAATGCTTACAGTAGCTTTATTTATAATCACTCAAAACTGGAAACAGCCACAGATCCTCCAGTGGGATGATGGATGAACAAACTGTGATATATCCAAAACAGAAAACTACTGAGTAATTAAATGGAATGAACTATTGACACATACAATACATGGATGAATCTCAAAAGGCATTATGTTGACCAAAAGAAAGCTTCTCAACTGGTTATAGGATTCCATTTATATAATATTGTGGATTCTAATATCCATTTATATGATTCCATTTACATGACAGCCATTTAGAGGATAAAGTGCTTTTAAAAGGTCAAAAGCGTCACAATAAGTAAGACTTCTATTTCAGCCCCCAACTTCTGCAATTCATCCAACCAGATCATTCACTGATGTAAAAGATTCAATGAGGAAAAAGGCTATGGGGAAACAGTATCTAACATATCTAGCTGAGGGGCTCCAGGGTGTCTGTCAGTTAAGCATTCAACTTCAGCTCAGGTCTTGATTCAGGGTTTGTAAATTCAAAGCCCACATCGGGCTCTCTGCTGTCAACACAGAGCCTGTTTCAGATCCTCTGTTTCCCTCTCTTTCTAACTCTTCCCTGTATGTGCATGCTTTCTCTCTCTCAAAAATAAACAAACATTTAAAACATTTTAAAAAAGAAACATTTCTGGTGGAAATGCAAAATGGCACAGTTCCTACAGAGAGGAATTTGGCAATGTCTAACAAAATTACAATATATTTATCCTTTTATGTAGCAATCTCACTTCTGGGAGTTTATTATAAAGACATACCTCCAACAAAAAGAAAACCCATATGCCCAAGGTTATTCTGCAGCCTTATTTGCAAAGTAGTGGAAATTACTTAAGTGCCCAAACATAGGATATTGGCTGGCTAAACTACGTACATACACATACTGCGCAGCTGTGAAAAGAATGAAGAAGATATCTGTGAAATGATGGGAAGTAATTCTCAGAAAATATTTTTAAGTAAAAACGGCAAAGTATAAAAGAGCATATGTGGTTTATCTTTTATGTAAGAAATTAGGGTAAATACAAAGCATGTATCCTAAATGTTTTTGCAAAAAGAAATATAAAGGAAAAACCAAAACCTAATGGTTACAAGATATAGGGAGACAGATGAAGGGACAGGTGAAGAAGTTAACTTCTCTGAGCATATCTTTTGTCATGAGTTTGACTTTGGGAATCAAGTTAAAATTCCACATTAAAAATATATTGATAATGTGGGGTGCCTGGGTAGCTCAGCTGGTTGAGCATTTGACTTTGGCTCAGGTCATGATCTCACAATTCGTGAGTTTGAGCCCTGCTTCAGGCTTTGTGCCTGGAGCCTGTTTCAGATTCTGTGTCCTCCCCTCTCTCTGGCCCTTCCCCACTTGCACTCTCTTTCTCTCTCTCAAAAAGTAAATAAACATTAAAAAAAAATAAAAATATACTGATAATGTTTTTAAAAAGGATGTGGGGGGGGAACTAAAACTGAATGATAACAGAAACAAAAAATTCTATTTCAAATTAATAAAATCACTGAAGGGAGAAGAATAAGAACTAATCGAAGTAACTTTTGAATAGTGTGCTTTGACCATATATTCATACATTCTTGAGATAAAGGAAAAAACCGGCAAAGGAACTTGAGCAAATATTGTTTGTTGTAGTGGGATGGTCTAGTAATTCTGAAGCTCTTTTGTGTATATTTCAAGATTGAACAAATGAATGCATAATGTCAATGTTGATGGGAGCCAGGGTTCTTGCTGTGGAAGAGATAAAAATATAGAACAGAAAAAGGCAAGGAAAGACTCTTAGGTACTTAGACTAGAACTGGAGGTGCGATGTTTCAAAAATTGTTAACACATGCACGCGTGCGTACATACACACACACTTCTAGCCCTGATGAAATCTGCTGCCAATCACTGTTTGTACTTTTATTTATTCATTCATTCATTCATTCATTCATTCATTCATTCATTTCAGTAGGCTTCACACCGAGCATGGAGTCCAACACAGGGCTTGAACTCAGCCCTGAGATCAAGACGTGAGCTGAGATCAACAATCAGACACTTGTCAATACTACAAGCAATCTACGTAGTCAATACAATCTCTATCAAAATTACACCAGCATTCTTCACACAGCTGGAACACACAATCCTAAAATTTGTATGGAACCAGAAAAGACACTGAATAGCCAAAACAATCCTGAAAAAGAAGGAGTACATGCACCCCAATGTTCACAGCAGCACTACCAACAATAGCCAAAGTATGGAAAGAGCCCAAATGTCTATTGACTGATGAATGCACAAAGAAGATGTGTATATACATCTTCTATATATACAATGTGCATATACATCTATATATATACAATGCAGTATTTCTTGGTGATCAAAAAGAATAAAATCTCACCATTTGCAACAATGTGGATGGAACTAAAGTATATTATGCTAAGTGAAGTC